CCTCATTAGCCCCCACACTATTTGCCTTGAAGAACAGCAGGCTATCATCTATGAATAAGAGTTGGTTCACCGGGGGCGCCGTAGGTGCCACCTTTAGACCACTCAAGTTGGATGACTCACTTTTTGATTTTAGGAGGCACGAAAGGCCCTCTGCTGATATCAAGAACAAGTATGGAGATATTGGATCCCCTTGTCTGATTCCTCGTGAAGGTTCAAATTGTTGTTGTTGTTTCCCATTGAACAACACTGAAAATTTGACCGTGGTTACAAGACTCATCACTATATCCACCCACCGTTCATTGAAGCCCAACTTGATCATAATTGCCTTTAGATAAGACCATTCTACTCTGTCATAGGCTTTCGTCATGTCAAGCTTGAGTGCGCAAGACTTGTGCTTCTTAGCTTTGTTTCGTTTTATAAAGTGCAAACACTCATAGGCTGTAATGATATTATCTGTAATCATTCTCCCTGGCACAAAGGCAGACTGTTCCTCTGATATGATGTTAGGCAAGACTATTTTCAACCTGTTAGAAATCACCTTCGAAGCAATTTTGTATAATACATTGCACAAGCTGATTGGACGGAATTGGGACAAGTGTATAGGATTTTTCACCTTGGGTATGAGGACTAAAACAGTCTCATTGATGCATGCTGCCGACTCGGTGTCTTCCACAATTCTAAGAACCGCCTTGGTTACATTCTCCCCGCATGTATCCCAATGATGCTGGAAAAAATGAGCGGGGAAGCCATCGGGCCCCGGTGCCTTTGTGGGGAACATTTGAAAGAGGGCGGTTTTCACTTCTTTTTTGCTGTACGGGGCATTTAACATATCATTCATACCTTGCGTGACTTTGGTCGGTACCGTGTCCAGGACCTGCGCCAAGTCATGAACACCCTCTGACGTGTACAACTGCTGATAGAAGGATGTTGTCAAGCTTTCCATCTCTGGCACATTTTCTGTTAGCTAGCCATCCTCTCTTTGAAGCGATTTTATCTAATTTTTCCTCCTCCGCCTGCTAGCCCATAGGTGAAAAAATATGTGTTTTTATCTCCATGCATTAGCCATTCCAATCGATCGCGTTGCCTCCAGAGAATTTCCTCTCTGTGAAAAAGCTCAATCAAGCGGTCAACTATTTTTAATTCCACATGTGTTGGAGCAGATCTGCCTGGGATCTCCCGTAGCTCCTGTATTTGTCGCTGGAGCTGTTGGATTTCACGTCGAACATTGCCAAAGTGCGTCCGGTCCCAGCCCGATAGGTCTGAAGACAGCGCCGTAAGCTTGTCACTTAACGAGCTGACCGAATCTCCCGGCGCACTCGCCCATGCAGCTTGTACCAGCGGCTGGAGACCAGAGTCCCATTCCCATGCCAACTCATATTTAAAGGATCGCGGGGACCGCTTGCATGCATTTTCATGCACGTACTGCACGTAGAGGGGGATGCGATCGCTCGTTGCCACAGATTTGTGTTCCAGCCTATCTGTGGGAAAGGCGACGGTCCATGTGGGATTTGCAACGCCTCTATCCAGTCTGGCCTTAGTGTACGTTCCTCCAGCAACCTTCCGCTCAAACGTCCAATCAATGCCAGTATACCATATATCTGATAGTCCACATGTATCCAAAGCATCCCTGAACGCATCTATCTGCGCCTGGCTTCTATGGCCGACACCATCATGTTCATGTGCATGGAGCACCTCATTGAAATCACCTAGGACTAGCCAGGGTGTGTTGCTTGAGCCAGCGATTCCCCTGATTGTGTCCCAGGTCTTGTATCTCTCATTCACTTGTGCTTCTCCATATATGAAGGTAACCCTTGTTTCAATATCGAGGAGCTCTTTAATGATAACATCAATATGATACTGTGAATAACCAACAACCTCAAGCTTTATTTCTTCGTTCCAAAATATGCCTAGACCACCACTTCTTCCCGAACTGCTTACAGCAAAACTCTTATTAAAGCCTAAAGAACCAACTAAATTTTCAACTCTACTTCCCTCTATTTGAGTTTCAAGAATGCATAGTACAGAGGGGGAAAACTGCTTCGTGAGTTCACGAAGCTCTTTCACTGTCGCGGGCTTGCCAATCCCACGACAGTTCCAACACAGGAGACTCATTGCGCTAGGCGCGACCCCCCTAGGGAGCCCGCCAAACGCGCATCAAGGTTTTTGGTCACCACTGCATTCTTCCCGCTGTTCTTCTCGGTTGTGTTTTGCTTGGTTCTCTTCGGCTCTTGTACTGAAGAAGGGCTTGCCGGGATCTCTGGTGGAGGTAGCAGCAGAAGATTGCTAGCGCGACCTTCAGTCGCCGATACCAAAGCTGATTTGGTGTCACTAGCTGTAACCCCTCTTTTCTTGTTGTTCTCTGCATCGCCCATGTCCACATCAGGCGTGTTGTTGGTCCTCTCATCTGCATTATATCCTCCAAAAGGGTTTGTCTGGTTGGAACCTCGACCACGGCCTCTTCCTTCTCGGCCTCTGCCACGGCCACCTCTCCCTCGATTGCCATCTTCTTGTCCTCTTCCCTCTCCTGGACCACTCCCCGGCCCTCTAAACGGGTCGCTTTGAGGTCCTTGAACACTAAGGCTTTGGGTGGGTGAACCCCATCGCCACACTCTTTAAACAGATGCCCGAGATATCCACAAACGGCACACCAATCTGGTAGTCGTTCGTATTTAACTCTGAATATCACCCTTTGAAGGCCATCCTTCTTCTTGATCACAAGCGAGACTGCGTTTTTGAGGGGTTTTGTGACATCAATTCTTACACGGACCCTGGCAAAGTTTCCTTCAAAATCCTGTGATTTTGGCTCTGCGAAGATGAATTCTCCCACGGTAGCGGTCAGTGCCTTGACTTTGGGGAAAAAACCATCCGGGAGGTCATGGATCTGAACCCAAATATCTATCTTGTTTAGCTCTATCGATGACGGCTTAGTGAAACCATCATAATGTGCTAGCACTACGGCTTTCCCTTTGAATGACCACGGGCCGTCCTCCATCACCCGTTCCCAATCACCGAGGCATCCAAACTGCATGGTGTACAAGTTCTCCTCGAGCGGCCTGATCTTTACCTCCTTTGCCAGATCCCAAGCAGCCCTCATAGTCCTATAGAACCAGTACTGGCTATAAGTTTTCTCCGTATAAACCCTAGCGATGCCCATACAACGAGTTGCCTCCGTCGGAAGTTCCTCATCTTCAATCACAACATCCTCAAGATCGTCTTCCTTCAAACCAAGTTCTTCCATCATTGCCTCTAGATCGGAAGCAGACGCGCCCGATCCTGACGCAGTATCATCCATCGATCTCTTGCTCGAGGTGTCTTTCCCGTGAGCGGTAGTGTCCCTATGGCCCTCGGCCCCAGCCATCTGCGCGCCGGCGAGACTGGCGGGGAGAAGAGGGACGGGAGGGTGGTTCTCTACCGGGGATGACGAAAATCGCCGCCGCCGCCGAGAGGTGGGTAAAACCCTAACTAGAGGGGAAACAGCCAAGCTCAGGAACCCAGTGCCTACTCGGGGCTGCACCGAACTTTATTAGATAGAAAGAAAGAGGTTTACAGACTGCGAACTAGGACTGTGAGCCCAAGGAAAAAGCCCGTCAAACAGAGCTCGGGCAAAAGCAAAACACCTAATACACAGTTTTGTCTCAAAAAAAAAAACCTAATACACAGTTGCTTCAGGAGACAAAATAGGAGATGTAACTGGCTGCCCTCCAAATGCAATTTCCTCCCTGACCTTGTCCGCGCTGCTGGCCAAGTGATCAAAAACCCTGGAATTATGTTGTTCCCAATTCCTCCAGTGCAGCTTTTGAAATAACAATTGCCCAAGTTTGGATCATACCTAACATGCACACTGCACCATTGGCATGTTTTAATTATTTTTTCTCTAGCTAGAACATGATACCTACAGGAGCACTCAAGATGATAAATATGTTCACCTGCATTTTGAATAAGTCACACGGATTTTTTTGGGGTACATTAGTAGACTTTCTAGACTATCTCATGCCCCTTTAATGCTAGATACATCTATTTGAGCAACAAGTAATTTGAGAAGGAGAAAGTAGATTTTGTCCTGCAAAGTCGTGTGAGCCGTCTCATATGCTCGAGTGTCTATACTTGCCTCACATTTTGTTGTATAATTATTTAGTTCAAATTAAGATTTGAAATAATTGTGTCCTAACTAGGATGACCATGGTAATTTCTTTCTATGATCATACGTGTTTACTAGTTCCTGCCAAAGGCAATACCACCCCCCACATCGTGCGTGCGTGTGT